ACCATTATACTTGCCATAATATACCATATTATATATACATACACCAATATACTATAATGGTATATTATTCAAATACTCAACAAATATTAGCAAGCATTATATTTAGATGTAAGTAAAACTGCACACTCTTTATGGAATACTTATAATTTTATATAGTTTGCTTTATACTGTGCCCCCAAATTTAAAAACTTTCTGGGCTGTAGAAATCAGAGGCTTTCTTCATTCTGGCATCTTTTCTATCTCAAAGAGTAGTGTATCCTATCCTGTCAGTATCATGGTGAAGATGTGGAAAACCCTCCTCAGATGGAGAAATGATGACCCCCAATGGCTGAACACAGGCACTTGCACCACCCACTCTCTCCGCTCACAAGGGCACATCACAGCTTCCCAGGCCCTGCTGCTGCACTGCTCAGGCACTTGCACACTATGCTGCTCTTAGGTCCTCAGTGTTAATAGTTGTTAGAATTATGTTTTATTTGCTCAATAGATATTGAAGACATCATAGAGGGCCAGGGGGAACATGGAATTGACAGTCACAGGAGAATCACGAGTGTTGCTGGCTCAGGTTACATGGCCATAATAGTAGGCAGAATAGTGAGAAGGGGCTTAAAGCAAGTATAGTCCATTTTTCCAACACCAGCTGGCCATTGGGAAGGGCACAGTGTTTATATTTATCGGTGTGACCATTCCAGAAAGCAAATAGCACACAGCTGTCCCAACTTTATTGCGTGGCATACCTGAGACACAGCTCCAAGCTATTCTTTTGATTCATACACATGTCCCACTCCACTACAGAAGTTTTTGTGCAATATCAGAGAATGTCCAGAGAATGTGCCAAATGATCTGGAAAGCTATTAAAATACTTCTCCCTTTCCTAATTACATGTCCATGTGAGGCTGCACTTTCTTCATGTACTTCAATCAAAAACATGTCAAACAGGTTAAATGCAGAAGCAGGTAAGTATCCAAGTGTCTTCTATTACAGACTTTAAAGAAAGTTGCAAAGGTGTAAAGAAATGCCACTCTTCTCACTAAGTTTATTTTTTAAATACTTATTTTTCATTTATCAGTTTCCTTATCTATAAATAGGGAATAAGAATTGCACAGCCTTGAAGTGTACATCTTATAGTGGCTCTGGGCATTGCCATGTGGCTTGCTTTGACCAATGAGACATTAGTAAGCACAATGCAAGCAGAGGCTTGAAAAAAGCTAGCGTATTAGCATTGCCCTCTTTTTTAATTCTTTTGAAATCCAGTTACTGTATTAAAAAGCCCAGGCTAGCCTGGACACATATGGCCCAGCAAGCAGCCAGCACAAATAGCCATGAGTGAGGCTTAGACTGTTCAGTCAAGTTACCAGATGACTGCAGCCTGTGTAAGTGACCCCATGTGAAAGTTGCACAAGATCTGCCCAGCTGAAGACAGACCAAATTTCTGATCCACAGAATTATAAATTATTATTGTTTTAAGCCACTAAATTTTGGGGTGGTTTTAATGCAGCAATAATTAACTAATACACAAAGTACATATTCTATAGTAATGTCCACATTTTTACAAGTTCAAGTTGCTATTTGTTAAAAAGAAGTATTTTGTTAAAACAGTATTGAAATAATATTAAAATGACTGCTAAGCTTAAATGACACTTGGTGTTTAAGTTTTTTCACATATATGTATATTGGACCTGTTCTCAAAGTATAGTCTTCAGATGTCTGAGGGTCTCCAAGCTCAAAATTATTTTTATACATACACAGTGGCTCACACCTATAATCTCAGCACTTTGGGAGGCCAAAGCAGGAGGACTGGTTGAGTCCAGGAGTTCAAGACCAGCCTAAGTCACACAGTGAGACCCTGTCTCTAAAAAAGTTTTAAAAATAAGTTGGGCAATGTGGCACGTGCCTGTAGTCCGAGCTACTTGGAAAGCTGAGGTGGAAGGACTGCCTAACCCAGGAGTTTGAGACTGCAATGTGAGCCATGATCATGCCACTACACTCCAGCCTGGGCAACAGAGTGAAACTTCAACTTAAAAAAAAAGCTATCATTATGATACTACTACTTTTCACAGTGTTGATATTTCCACAAATGGTACAAAAGCAATGAGAAATAAAACTGCTAGCGCCTTAGTACAAATCAATGCAGTGGCACCAAACTGTACTAAGACATTGCATTATTGTCATGCACTCAGTCAAAAAATAAGCCAGCTTCAACTAAGAATTTCCTTAATGAACCAGTAAAAAGTATTAACTCTATTAAATTCTGATCTTGAGTCCATGTGTTTTTAATATTCTGTGTGACAAAATAGGAAGTATCATAATGCACTTCTGTATACCAAAGCATTATGGCTGTCAAGAGGAAAACACTTGTGTGACTAAGTTAGGTGCTGCACTAGCCAGTTTTTCAAAGAAACAAACACTGGTTATTTAGACTTAGATATTCAGCAGGCATTTTCTTTAAAATGAACCAAGGGAAACTGTCACTTCAAGGAAAATAACAGACAGTATTTATTGCCAATGATATAATTTGAGCATTCAAGGAAAAAAATCAGAATTTTGGAAAACTTATCTGCTACTATGATCTTGAGAACTTTCCAATAGTTAAAAATGTTTCTGATGATATCAGTAGTATTTTAAGGAAAGTGATTTAATACTATATAATGAAATGTGTTAATATCTGGAAGATTTGCATAACTCAGTGAACCAGTATTTTCCAAATAACCATTGCATCATGTTACGTGGGGGAAAGACCTAAGGACAGATCAATGGATTTAATAAAGTACAAAAGGTTCATTGATATGGCTTCAGATTTCACCTGCAATTAACCTTTAAGAAACTACCACTTGACAAGTTGTAATGGAATATCAGAGACTATCTGAAAAGGCTATTAACACATTTGCAATCAGCAAATTTTTCATTTTCCTAATACTGAGAACGAGTGAAAATAAGAAAATCTGAAGCTGGTTGCTGCAAAACTTCTGTTGTTAAGCACAAGTGAAATGGTCTTTTCTAAATTGTCACCTTTTTCACAATACAGTTGAATTGCAGACATAGCCAGTATCTGCCTCAGACACCACTTTGACTACCATTCCATACTTTGTATTTTTTTTTCAGATTACAAACTGAATATATATTATATAATATATTGTATATATATATTTCTTTGTTTACACTGTATCATTACATCACTATCTATCTCAATATCAATAATAAGTTCACTGGATTCACCTTCAACCTCAGAAATTTTATCAGCATTTCTTTCTTCATTTTCCATAGTTATAGTAAATTATTATTATTTTTATTTTTTTATTTTTTTGAGTTGGAGTCTCACTCTGTCACCCAGACTGGAGTGCAGTGGCCGCTCCTGGCCACCGCAGCCTTGACCTGCTGGGCTCCAGCGATCCTTCCGCCTCAGCCTTCCAAGTAGCCAGAATTACAGGCATGCGCTACCATGCCCGGTTGATTT